GTGCTTTAGACCACTGAGCCATCCCTCCAGCCCCAAATGGAATAAGGCTTTTTTTTTTTTTTTTTTTTTTTTTTGTTCCTCGAATGCCTTCAGGGCACTTTTGGCCAGCTGGAGAGGTGTGAGGTTCGAACTCCAGCAACCTGAGGCTGACAGCTTTGTGGAAGCAGCCACTTAAAGGCCTGAGCTAGGGCCAGGCCCCCGCTCGTTCAATTCTTTTGGGGCTGAATTTCCAAAATTGGCTATACCATTACAAAACCCATACATTTACAATTCTGATACATGACACCAAATTGCCTTTCAGAGATATTTCACCAAATGACCTACTTCTTCAAATCTTCATTAACGTTAGAGAGCACTAATCTTCTACATTTCTGAAATCTACTGTACAAAAAGAAGATGCTGCCATTTTCACTTCTGGATGTACAGAAAAGATGTTCATCTCACATGCACTGCACATCTGAATTTCCAAGAAGGGTCTCGCCAGGTTGCCAAGCTGCCTGCTGCAATCCCGCCTCTACCTCCCACAGTGCTGGGGTGCACACCACTATTTTCCTCCTCAGCCAGGGCCTGACACTCTGTGGTTCACGAAAGTCTCAACCTCACTAGGTGGCCCAGGCTAGTCTCAGCACTGTGATCCTCCTCTCTCTGTCTAGTGTTGGAACTACAGGCATGTGTTAACACACTGCTTAATAAGGCATCTTCATAGGTTAAAATATTAAAATGGTTTGACAAACATACAGTCTGCCAACAAATGTATACACACTTCTGAAAAAAAAAAAAAAAAAAGTACAGGATTGGCTTTTGTGCAGCCAAAGCAGCACCTTTCAGTGTTTCAGTAGGCCACGGAGCTGGCCCGCAGGACGATCCACTTCAGGTCAGAGCTGCCTGGCGATGAGACATACAGATTGTAGTCCCACGGGAGTGCTGTCAGGCCAGGGCCCTGCACACGCCGGCAGTACTCTACTCTTAAGCTCCACTCCTTTTTATTCCGAGAGAATCATGCACTAAGTTGCCCAGGCTGATCTTGTAATTGGAATCTTCCTGCCTCAGCCTCCAATGGTGGACTGAGGGCGCACCTTACATCCAAGGCAGAACTTCTAATGTCATCTTGTTTCCCTTTTTCTTTATTTCAAGAACACTTTCAATTCTAAACACTAAAGCTAAAGTCTTAAAAGTGCTGGCACAATAGGGAATTTGAAAATAATTGCACATAAAGTCAATACAATTCCATCTTTGAAAAACGGTATTGCCATTCTTCAGTAATACAGACTCATCAGCCACATGCCATGCCAAAACACTCCAAATATTACCAAAACAGACGTCCTCGGACTGTGTGCGGTGCACCTGCCTAGACCACATTCCCAACTGCTCACCCATCGCCTGCAAAACAAACCCTTCCACATGTACTCTGACCAATTTGGTCTGATCAAATCTTTTTTGGGAGCTGGGGAGATGGCTCAGTGGAGTAAGCACTTCCCGGGCAAGTGCAAGGGCCTGAGTTTCATCCCCGGTTCTGCCAAAAAAAAAAAAAAATCTTCTGTTTTTTGGACACACAAACACAGAGATGCACATACAAATTCTTTTTTAAAAAAAATTTATGTATTTGATAGAGTCTCACTACGCAGCTTCTAGTGACCTAGTGACCCTCCTTGACTCAGCCTTCCCAGTGCTGGGATGACAGGCATGCATCATCACGCCCGGTTTTGGTGGCCCATTCAGCATGGGTCTGGCACGGCATGTGGTACTAGGGATCAAACTTGGGTCCTCGTGCTTGCCGGGAAGGTGCTTAAGACCACTAAGTTATTTTCCCAGCCCAGTATCTTCTCTTTGTGACAAGGATGTAGCTTTTAAAAGTAATGAGACATATCTTTAAAATTTTCACCTGTTTTGACCAAGTCACCAAGAATCAGGGTAAGCGCAGCTTGTCCAGACTGTACTGGGTGCATCATACAGAAAGCTGGCAGGGAGGCAAACGCTGGTCATGAGGAGACACTGCTGCACCCTAGTGGCCCCAATGTCACCAGCCCTTCTGTTTTTGGTCTAAGATGCTAACTTACAAAGCACAGCCCCTTCAGGTGCTGTCTTGTGTATTTATTGAGCTATGATCCTGGCACTTTAGCATGACACAAATGCTTTTCACACGGAGGAAAGCAGCAGAGTTCCCCGGAGGCTTCCTACCAAGCAGTCTCTGCTGCTGCAGCAGCAAGAGTGAAGTAGGACATTAACACCGACTTGCAACCTACCAGATAACCATGACCCCGACTACAGGTGACTGGACACATGCACACAGATTCACTGTAAAACAAGCTCACAGCACATTTGACACTGGTGATGGCAGCCGGTATGAGTTAGTGAGTATTCTGAGTTTCAATTTTGCTTTTCTGGGAGCTCAATATCTGGGTTCAAATACCCGCGATCTCATTCTGGGATTAGCTCAGCGCTCAGGAATGGGAGGGTGTTTTCTGCCCCCCATCCTTCTTTTCCCTAGTGCATACCATCACCGAGATCTACCGACTGATGCTTTTGTCTGAGCTGTGTTCATGCTTTTGTGTGAAGAGGGTCATCTACAGAGACTGCCAGGGTGAACGGAACCTTCACAACCTACAGCGCACGTGCTGTCTGCCTCACTGAAAGCTCTAAAGCATTTGCCATCAGTGCTGTAAGGTGGGACGTACCAAGATGAGCAAAGCCGAGGAACGACGATTTTATTCCCAGTGCTTCCTCTAACTGCAGCCCTGGCACAACAATTTAAAACCTGAGTGGAGGTCCTGTTACCTGCAGGGTTAACATCTCTCTGGTCCACAGCATGTATTTACTGTGCTGCTCTACTGCAAAGGTCTGTGTTCTGGAATCATAAAATGCTCCAGAATGGTAGCACCAGCAGCTTCTCACATACCTGTGTATCTGACCAGCGTTCGTCCTGTTGATATCTCCCAGAGTTTAGCTACTGAATCTTTTCCACTTGACAAAATATATTTAGAATTTTTGGAAAAAATGGCCGAACAGACTTCAGCACCATCATGTGCTTTCTCAAAAGTTGTGATGCATCGATTTGAAACGCCATCCCATAGCTTGATGCAGCCGTCCTTGCTACCAGTCACATACATATTGGCGCTGGGATTGCAATTCACAGAACAGATAGCATCAGTGTGCTGATCTTGAGGATTGCAAGAGATGAAACACTGAAAGGTGTTGATGTCATAAAGGCGCAGAGTGGGATGCTGCGTGCCAACAAGGATGAAGTCTCCGGAGGGGTGGAAAGAGATGGAGCGCAGCATTTCTGCTTCCTGTAAGGACAGCCGTTAATGTAAGGGTTAGGGAATGAGGAAGACATCGCTTTGGCTGATGCAGAGAAATTAAAAAACTCAATTACCAGATACTACACCAGTCTCAGAAAGAATTAGAGTACTCTGTAGAACACATACTTTTTTTCTTGAGCAGAGACTTCCAACAGTATATATTTATTGGTTAATTATTCCCAATTTATAGAAATGAGATTTATAAATGAATTCAGGATGGTATTATGAATGAGTTATTAATCTACAGCACATTGTCATTTAGAATACCTCCCCCCCATCCTGGTTTTTTGAGTCACACTACGTAGTACGGGGTGGCTTTGAACTTGTGATCCTCCTGCTTCAGCCTCCATAGTGCTGGGATTACAGACATGCACCACCAGGCTTGGCAAGAACAGCTTTTTTAATTTGCTCTACAGATGCAAACACTGAGTATGAAACACTAACAGGTGGACACCACAATGACACTAATAATTTGATAATGCAGATTCAAAACAGAGTACCAGACATGACTATTCCAAAAATACCCAACAGTTTGAACTGAGTGCTTTTGTCCATTCTATTACTTAGTTTTAGGAAAGGTGATAGGTTTTTTTTTGGGGGTGGATACTGGGGATAGAACGCAGGACTTTGTACCTGCTGATAGTTTCGCTTTTAATAGGCGCTGGCAATATTTCAAGAGTGGCAAGGAGTCTGAATATTTGTCCCATGAACTGTGACTAGAGGAAGCAGGCATGGGACAGGGTCTGAACTATGTGCCCAAGGAATCCAACCCACGGGCACTTGGGCATGTTTCTGAATTGCTGTACACTTGTTTTAGAGGATAATCACTGAAACTGCTTGTAAGAAGTCATAAAACCCCACGACAGCTGGGCGTGCTGGTGCACACCTGTAATACCAGCACTCAGGAGACTAAGGCAGGAGGATCACAGTGAGTGTGAGATCAGCTGGGCTAAAAGCAAGCTCAAGGCCAGCCTGAACTGCATAGCAAGATCCTGTCGCAAAAAGACAGAAACAAACAAAAAAAGCATCAAGGCGACGAAGACAAAAAAAAAAACACACCGCAACAAATCCCCAACCTGAATGTATTTGAAAGCTCTTTTTGCAGATGGTTTGGAATAGTCAAATAACTTAAGAGTATAATCCCTGGAGCCAGAGGCCAGGATCTGCTCCGTCGGGTGGAAGGCCAGGCACGTGACTTCGTCCACGTGGTCATACAGAGTCCGAATCACTGGGTGGTTCTCCATGTTCTGCTGTGCAGTCTCGTTCATCATGACCT